AAGAAGAAGAAGAAGAAGAAGAAGAAGAAGAAGAAGAAGAAGAAGAAATAAACACTAGAATGCTATAGCTGCACAGGTGATGATGAAGTCAAGTACTTGGCAGTGGTAAAAGAGATATAATTAATAAGGTCTGGCAACTGATTAGTCTCCTGAGGTGAAGGAGAGGGGAAGAATCAAAGCTCATGTTGAGGTTTGAGGCATGGGTGGTTAAGTGGATAAGGATGCCACCAAGAAAGACACAGATTTGGTGGTAAATATAATCATTTTGACTTTAGACATGCTGAAGGTGAGGGGCCAGTAGGAAATCCAGAGAGAGAGAGAGAGAGAGAGATCCTGTAGGCAGCTGGAGATTAAAGTCTGGAGTTCAGGAGATAGAAAGGAGAGCTGAAGAAATGTTCAGTTGAACATGGAAGGTCTTGAATGCCCATATAGATTGGACTTTAATTTGCAGGCAATGAGAAGCCACTAAGGTTTTGCAAAGCATTGAGAAGTTAGTCAGAGGAGAAGCAGAGGCAGCAAATGTGGCCAGCTTTTTCTAAGGGTTTGACTGAGAAAGGAAGGAGAGATATAGAACAATAGTTTGAGGGGGTGGGAGGTTCTTTATCTGAACATTCTCTCATTGTTGTCTGCCTATGAAACCTGGACAGTCTACCAGCGCCATGCCAGAAAACTGATCACTTCCATTTGAATTGTCATAGGAAGATTCTGAAAATTAGGAAGATTCCTGGCAGGATAAGGTACGGGATACTGAGGTGAACTGCCAAGCCTGCAGAGAGTGCAGTTCCCATGGATTGGCCACTTTGTTGGAAGCTCAAACTTACATTTGCCTAAAAGACTATTTTACAGAGAACTCACACAAAGAAGAGTTCATATGGAGGTCAGAAGGAGTGATACAAGGACACTCTCAAGGTCTCTCTGAAGAACTTTGGAATAGATTGTGAGACATGGGAGATACTGGTGTAGGACTGTCCAACATGGCATGCCCAAATCAAAGAAGGTGCTGTACTCTATGGGCAAAGCAGAATTGCAGTAGCTCAAAAGAAACATGAGATATCTCCACTCTAGAAGTTCATATGGACTACTTGTGCCTGACCTGTGGTAGTCTTCCAAGCTCATGCTGGTCACATCAGCCACAGTCAGACACATTGTACCTTGACCCTGATATGGTGATGTCATTATGGTCCTTTCATATTTTTCACTAATCCATGTGCCATGTTTTAAATCCCCCTGCTAGCTTTCATTTCTGCAAAGGCAGAGGCATGATCTAACTTATGCTTAATCTTTAGATGGTAAGCTCCTTAAGGGCAAGGATGGTCTCTCTCTTTTTACTTCCTTCTCTTTTCTTTCTTTCTTCCTTCCTTCCTTCCTTTCTTTTTATTTCTTTTCTTTTTCTTTTCCTTCCTTCCTTTCCCAGCATTTAACCCAATGCCTGGGCACATAGTAGACATTTGATAAATGTTGCTTGATTGATCTCTTCCTCAGCATATAGGGCATGCTTATTCCATTACTATTGAATGAATTAATGTGTGCGTGTAAGAATGCATGCTTTGGTGGAGGCATTCTGCTCGGAGAAGGTGGACTGCGACCCTGGACACGGTGGTTCCCAGGCAGAAAGAAAGCCAGCACAGGGAAGGCAGAAGTTCCCTTAACGAGGTTCTGAATCTGGAGAAGGTGAAATTTAAAAAAAAAAAAAAAGTGTATTCTAATGTAGGTGGTTTCCTTTGTAATCCTCTGTATTGGATTTTGTGCATTTTATTCGGATTCGGATAAGGGGCCTCTGGGCTTCCGCAGACTGCCCAAGGAGGCCAGCGCGGCACACAGGAGGTGGCATGGGCGGAGCTCAGTCAAGGTTAAGGCAGTCGGCCGGAGAGGCCAGCCCAGCTTCGAGCTCTCCCTGCTCTGGGGTGGGAGGGGCGGGGCGATCTGTCTGTGCCTTGGAAGGAAAGAGCAGGAATGAAAAAGCCCACGGAGCCCTAGGCCAGGAGCGGTGGGAGGGAGAAAGCGGGGGCTGGATCCTGGGCGTGGCTTGGAGGCGGGCGCGGTCCCTCCTCTGCCCTCCACTCCCCACCACCTCCCGGAGGCTCCCCAGGCTCGGGACGGGCTTTGAGTTCTGCTGTGTGGGTTGCTCTCTTTGCCCCCCTGGGCTGCGGGGCAACTCTTCCCCTCCTTGACTACGTTTCCCCTTGGGGTCGCCCAGCCCCTGTCCGGCCCTGGGCATCCAGCCTGCCGGACCTCCCGCCGCCCCGGGCCCAGCCTGCAGCTTCAAAGTCGGAGCCAGCGATGTGGGGGCGAGCTCCCGTGGCCCCGCGCGCGACAGGGGCGGGGGCAGGGGTGGGACCGCGGGCGCCAGTTTGGGGCGCCAGCCCCGCATGCTGTCGCTAGGGCTCCCCGCGCCCACCCGCCCGCCCACTGGCTACGTACCTGCGGGTGGCTGGAGCAAGGCAGCTGTAGGAGGTGTCTGGCGGCCTCCCCGAGCGGACCGGAGTGGAGGGAGGAAGTTTCGGTGAGTGCCTTCGGGCGGAACTAGGGGTGGCTCTGGTGAACCGGAGCTCGAGGGCCCCAGTAGGGCACCGACACTAGGAGAGGGGCAGAGCTGGTCAGCAGGAGGGAGGGAGGCCCTGGGAGAGTGGAAGGTACGGACGGGGTCAGAGGAATCGAGTTCAAATTCTCCCTCTGCTACTTGGTACCTTTGACTGCCTGTACTCTCTTCTGCCGAATGAAGAGTTCATAGGTCCCATCACGTGGTGGGCGGATCCGCTTACCCTCTCTGAGTGTCAGTTTCCTTCCCTGTAAAGGGAGGCAGGTAGACAGAATGATCCCACGGGTTCCTTCTGATCACACAGCTATTATCCACCGACTTTGGCCTTGGTGGGATTCCTGCCACTCCTGCTAACAGACTGCCTTTCACCGTATCGGTCAGGGATCCCCCACGGCCGAGCCAGCGCAGGGGTAAAGGGATCCGATGAAATGCTTCACGCTTAGGTGTTGGTGACCTAATGAGGAGAGGTAATGTGATGTCATGGCCGAGCCCTAGACTTGTCAGCAGAAGGCCTGGGTTTAGAGTCTTGGCTCTGCCAGACACAGAGTGGACACTTAGCTTCTTTGAACCTCAGTGAACTCTTCAGTACTATTGGAATATTAAGGAGGCACAGGGTGAAAAATCAGAAGACTTATTACTCACCCCCGTGTGACCCTAGACCAGTCACTTCTTCCTAGGCCTCATTTGGGGCATTGATCCTCTCTAAGATACAGCATTTCTAAAGTCCTTTCCTGTTCCACCTTCTCTTTCTAGTATTTGTATTAACTATTTCAGGAGTACAATAGTAGTACTATTTCAGTAGTAGTATTTATCATACAAATGTTGCTTGTGGGCATAATCCTTTTCCATAGGGGCTTTGCATTTTAAAGGGGAGCCCAGAATGTGAGAAAACAAGATGTTGGATCTAGAGCAGGAAATCCCTGATGATGCCACTTGGGTAGGGACCCTAGGCCATCTGGAGGATTTGGCTCTGACCTGCTGTAACACACTTATTTCACACTACTCTCCTTCTCTTCTGCTTCACAAACCGGACTTTGAGCTACTCATTGGCCTCCTCTTGCCTGCCTCTTTGAGGTCCCATTTGCCTAACATTGAGGCTTCCCCCCATGATTTGCTAGTTGAAATCCTTTGTCTTCAAGGCCCAGCTTGGGTATGGGATAGCATTTCAATGTCTAAGAGATTAAGTCTATTGAATATGGTTTCCTTATTTTTACAGAAGAGAAAACTGAGGCCTAGAGAGATTATAGGACTTACCCGATGTTACACAGATAATAGCAAGGCAGGGATCAAGGTTTGAATCAGGCCTTCTGACTCCAAGTCCATATCTCTTTCCTATACACCACCCTCCTTGCTCTCTTCCCTCCTTTCCCCAATAAAAGCAACCTTGCCCTTCTCATGTTTCTTACAGCATTTTGCCTAGACCTCTTCCTTGATCTTACCACGTTCTGCTTTGTGTAATATTTATTTGTCTACTGTTATAGCACTATGTTCATTAGACTGTATTTAATCACCTATTTGTTTTGCATTTTTTCTGTCTATATTTGGACATAATAATAACTAGCATTTATATAGCGCTCTAAGTTTACCTCTCTTATCTTATTTGCCTCTCATCTCATCTGATCCTCACAACTGTCCAGTGAGGTGGTGCCATTATTATCCCAGTTTTACAGATGAAAGAACTGAGGCTGAGAGAGATTAAAAGATTTGCCCATTGTCACACAGCTAGTATCTGAGGTAGGATTCGAACTCTGGCCTGCCAGGCTCCAAGTCCACTGCGCCACCTCGCTGTCTCCATTAGAATGTAAGCTTCTTGTTTCATTCTTTGAATTTGTATCCCTAGCACAGTGCTTGCTGACACATGGTAGACACTAAGTAAATGTTTGTAGATTGACTGTAAATTATTGGAGGGTAGGCCTGTGCTTTTCATCCTTGTATCCCCACACCAAGCGGAGGGCCTTCTTCACCCATCTGTAATGGATGCTTCAGTGTTTGCTGGCATGAGAAGGAGTAACCAGAAACATGCAGATTCTCATGACCAAGCCAGCTGTTCTTTGTAGCCTAGGCCAGCATGGGTGCCTGGGCTTGACCTCCCTGAAATCAAATTCTGCTTAGATTTCCAATTCATTATTAGGGTCATAACACCTGAGAGAAATCATCTAGTTCAGGAGTGGGGAACCTGTGGCCCTGAGATTACATGTGGCTTTTTGACTAAATCCAAACTTCACAGAACAAATCCCCTTCATAAAAGGATTTTGTTCGGTAAAACTTGGACTCAGTCAAAAGGCCGCACTCAAGGACCTAGAAGGCCACTTGTGGCCTCAAGGCCGAAGGTTTCCAGCCCCTGGTCTAGTCTAACCCCTGACATTTTACAGAAGAGGCGGATGAGGCCCATTAACATAAATTGGCTTGCCTGAAGTCACATAGAATTAGTGGCAGAACCAATGAACAAAGGAGGTTCTTTCCCCACAATGTCATGTGGCTTTAGTTCCTGCCTCATTGAGCCTCAACCATGCATTCAGTGCCCAGGAAAACTCAGTATTACATGAGATTTGTGGGTAGAACACTGGACAGGACGTCAAGGAAGCTGGGTTCCACCCCTGAATTTTGTTGTGACTAGTCCTCTCTGGTTCTTCTGCTGTAAAACAGATATAACCCCCCTGCCCAACCTCCCAGATACTGGACGTGGAAGTAAGTCAGTAGATTTAAAACACTATTATTTCATTTCTCTTTCTACAGGAATGGATAGGATTCCTAAAGATTAGGAATGAGGTTCCCTGTAATCAGAAAGAGCTCTGAAGCATGACTCAAAGGAGCTGTGTTCAAATTCTGCCTTTGATGCTCATTACCTGTGTGATCCTGGACAAGTCACAGCCTTTCGGGTGCTCTGTTTCCTCAGCTATAAAATGAAGGAGGACTCTATGATCTCTGAGATTCCTTCCAGCTCTGACTCCAGGAAGGATCCTCTTTATCCATCTCTCCCTATTTCGCCCTTTCTCTCAAGAAAATCTCAGTCATTTACCCATGGCAGCTAGGTGGTTTTAGTTAGTAGATTCTAACTGGACCTGATTGGAGGATTGGAGGGTTGGAGGGAGGAGCAAAAAAGTCTTCTGAAAGCCTTCTTTTATAGAGGGCTCAGAATTTCCACCAACTCTTCATTTCCCACCAGTTGTTCTAAACATCATGGCAGGTTCTGGGTATCCTCTGCCCCACCCCCCCAACCTAGCTTACTTTGGTGTATTATCTTCCTCCATTAGATTATGAACTCCTTGAAACCAGGGGCTGTGTTTCTTTTTTTCTTAGTTGTATCCTCAGCATTGAACACAGTGCCTGGCACACAGAAGTTGCTTAATAAATGTTTATTGACTGAACTCTATTAACCTAAGCAAATCACTTAAACGCTATCTATCTCCATTTTCACATCTGTAAAATGGGAATAATATAGTAATAGTACCTACCTCATTGGATTGTTGTGTGGCATCTAAAAAAAAAGGTTTGAGAGACATAGTTTCTGAGTAATTTAATCATTTTATTAGTAAGACCAGCATGTTTATTAATGAAAAGATGGTCACCAGGCTGTCTCTCTTAGACCAAAGACCTCTCATGGCAGTGGGCTCATAGTTTATATGCCGTTTGAAGAGTAGGGTGGCAATCAACTCTGATTGATTAATAATTAATGAGAAAATGAATATGACAATGAGAACGTGAGCTACCTGTTACAGTGAGGGTCTTGAGGTATGTGACTTGTGTCACCCAAACCTTGGTCAAAGAGACTTATTAGTTTGCATATCACCTGTCTGACCTGTCTGAGCCAAGACAGAGTAGAAGCACACCCAGGAGGCCAAACTTAGAATTTATTTTACTGATTAGATCTTGGCCTAGCTAAATTTCTGCCCAAGAACTTCCTACATTGGTTGATTTCTGAATGAGGAAGTAGAAAGAGGGAAAAACCTTGGTTCTGATTCAATAATCAGTAATTAAATACAAAAGAGAAGTAATCATTTCTCATAGATGTGGAGATGAAATGAGATATTTGTAAATTGCTTAGGAAATCTTAAAGCACTGTATCAGGTTATTGTATATAACGTAATATGTAATAATACTTTACAGTGTGTGTCAGTCCCTGGGCTCCCTCTTTCTGCATTGTTACCCCCTCTCTGCCTGTGGGGAAAAAACTGTCCCTAAGTAAAGGTATTTCAAGCCAGTGGGTTGTGGAGAGTATTATTTGAGTATCGGGCTCTTTCTAGTCCCCTTGAAACCACACCAAGGAAACTACAACCTATGCTCCTTATGACTATGGTATCCAGCTGGTTCTGCTCGATTCTTTCAATCATTGATTTAGAAGAGAAGGCTATTTGGCCCCAGTTCTCCCTCTTCGTGTCCTGATGGTCAGTGTTGGGAGAATGGGGGAGGAGGGGCAGCCTGATGCTAGGTTTGCTGGTGCTCTCTCTTTCTAACTCACATCATCCCAGGAAAATCAGGCTTGGTGATGTTCCGTCGGTCCCTCCCATTGCTTCTGTCAGCACCATATATTAGGGACTCAGGGTCACGAGGGCTGCACACACAGGTATCATGGGATCCCTTTTATTAAGGCTACGCCAGCGTAGGCTATGGGACTCTGGCCTGATTCACTGCTAGTCCAACAAAAGTAGCTTTGTCACTTAATGATGTGGCCCTTCGGGGCACCTTGACTAACTTGGCAAGGTGGTAGACTAAATGGAGAGCCCTGGCCTGGGAATTGTCGGCTTCCTGGCTTCATGGGATTCAGACCGAGTGAGAGGTTTGTGATAATCTGGTCCAGTGGGGTTCACAGTCAGAGTTCTTTAATGTACCTTAAGCAGGAAATAATTGTGAAAATATTATGGGCGTTGTGTTCAATTTCCCAGGAGGTTCACAACACTTTCTGTTGTTGTTATTGTTATTGTTGTTGTTGAATAGGATTCATGGAACAAAAAGTTTAGAAACCA